ACTATAGAAATGCCAGCAAATGTAGAGATAAAAAGACTAGATAACTAGCGACATGAATTCTATCTCAGAGGTTATAGTCTCCTTTTAAAAGATGGATTTTTTGGGACCGGTGCGGTGGCGCAAGTGGTTAAGGTCCTCGTATTGAACACCTGGGACCCCATATGGGAGCCGGTTCTATCCCCGGCTGCCCCGCTTCCCTTCCAGCTCCCTGCCTGTGGCCAGGCAAAGTAGTCCAGGACAGCCCAAGGCTTTGAGACCCTGTGCCCGCATGGGAGACCCGGAAGAGGCTCCTGGCTTCGGATCGGCATAGCATCGGCCGTTGTGCTCACTTGGGGAGTGAATCATCGGAAGGAAGATCTTCCTCTCTGTCTCTCCTCTCTGTATATCCGCCTTTCCAATAAGAAAAAATAATAATAAAAATAAATCTTTTTTTAAAAAAAAGATGGATTTTTAAAACTTATTTACTTGGTTATTTATTTATTGGAAACAGTTACATAGTGAAAGGGAGAGACAGAGAGACAAAGAAAGATCTGCTGGTTCATTCCCAAATGACCAAAACATAAGGTCTGGGCAAGGCAGAAGCAAGGAGCCAGGACTCTATTCGGATCTCCCACATGGGTGGCAATGCACCAAGCACTTAGATCATCTTCTGCTGCTTTCCAAGGCACATCAGCAAGGAGCTGGATCAGAAGTGGAGCATCCGGGACTTGAATCAGCACCCATATGCAAAGCTAGTTTTTCAGGTGATGGCATACCACAATACAAGCCCTGAACTTTTACTTGTAAGTGCATCCATTTGAAATATGTAGATAATATAAAATCATTTTGAATAGTGTGTATCAAAAAATTGCTAGGTCAGTATACACAATCTGTGGTGTCAGGGGATGTTGATGCACTCTTCATTTCCTGTTTGAATTTCAGATCAGTCAGATGGAGTCTTGGGGGAAAAATGTATACGACCATGATATTTAAAGATTCTCTTTAAGAATACCTGTAGAGATGCGGGTTTTAAGATGGCTGACGTAGGAGGAAGGCTGTGAGGGAGAGCCCAGTGAGAGAGGGATAGAACGCTACAGAAGCAGCAAAGAGGAACAGCAAAGAACCGCAGGGAGAGGTGCATGAAGTTCCCTGGACAGTGTGGAGCCAAAAAGATCCACACAACTCGGAAGAACAATGAGAACAAAACAAAACAAAAGGCAGGGAAGACTGCGTCCCACTCCAGACCTACTGAGTAACCTTTAAGAGCAGCCGACAGGAGATGCAGCCGACCCAGAGACAAGGAAACCGGGAGGGATCGTCACCGGCAAAGGTCTTCAACAGCAGCAGAGGCAGACTGCAACAGCCTGAGGTTCGGGTGAGCCAGGGAAGGGTTAACAGCTTCTGGAGCCTGCCTTCCAGGGACGGGCACAAAGCCCAAGCCTCTGGGGTGCTCCTTTTACCCTCCCTTCCTGCAGAGGTTCCAGCCTCTGAGAACACAGGGAAAGCGCCTTGAAACTTCCGAATCTGTGCCTTGGAAGTGGCACACAGTAGTCCTGGGTGCTGAGAAGGCACAAAGAAAGCGCCCCAAATATTCCTGCGCTGTGTGGGCCAGTGCATCTCAGTGCGCAGAAACTACCAGCAAGGGTCTAGAATCCCCCACACCCTGATACCCTGTGGGTGGGCAACACACCAGGAGGGCTCTGAACACCACGCTGGGCTGGGCGGTCCTGCCTGCAGAAACCACCTCCGCAGCGCAGGGGCTACACCAGGAGGGCTCTGAGCACTGGGACGTGCAGCGCTGTGTGACCCTGGCACGCAGGAGCCACTCCCATAGAGTGACTTGCCCAGCCTCACTCCTTCTGGAGTGGCAGGGGCCATCCTGGTTCAGATAGCCAGAGTGCCAATAGTGCTGGGCTTTGCCCAATGGCTGCCCAGTGGCCAGCCCTGGAGGCCTGGGGGTGTGGAATTATTACCCTAGTATATCCATGGATAAGGCCACTGCCCCTGTAGGTGAGGAATGAATCCTGAGGGACTCCTAATGCCAAGGCCACTGTACTTGCAGATAAGCGAGGGGACTGAGATCTAATGGTTTGGAGGGGAGAGACCAGATCAGTATGGGTCAGACCAATCATCTGCTAACGTGGGAGTCCTGAGATGAGCTTGTTAACATGAAACATTGCTGACTACAATACACCAGTCCACACAATAACTAGGGCTAGGGGCTTGTCTAGCAGGGCTAGATCCCAGTACCTGACTGAATGTCAGAACAGGGGACAGGTCACATTAGGCAGGGCCACAACACTAGCCAACATGTAAGAGAATCATATCTGGGGGTAGATTCTGTGGACAATATGTGGGCTCAACTCCGTGAAAATACAAGTCCTGCTGGTTTGCTTAAGTGTGGTGATGGGCTGAGCTAGGTGTGACCATGGAATCCACCAACTCTCACAGGTACTGGGACTGAGAATAGGCTGGGCCAGGCTGTAGCACCTGCACATACATCCTAAGATAGGATGTGGTGCAGGCTGGGCCACAACATTCACCACCTCATTCAAAACATAAGATGGAAGGGCAGGCTATGCCAGGTAAAGGGCCTAGCACACTGGCATGTGTGAGATCTGAGTCTGGAAGTGGGCCTAGTAGGGAAACTTGGGAAACTCCCCTAGTGGGTCGTAGCTCTGGCTGGTGAGCAAGTGGTCCAGGCCTGGGTTTTGGGCAGACTGAGCAAGGTAGCTCCATCCATTGACTAGAGTGTGGGTTGGTTTTGAGAAGGGGTGGATGGGGCAGGGCCAAGCAAAGTTTATCTCACTGGAAAGTGCAGAAACAAGGTTGAAGCATGGGTCATGCCAGGTTAGGCTAACACACCTACCAGTTTACATGAAGCAAGGATGGAAGCAGACTGAACAGGACCAGGTTCCAGCATCTGCCAGCAAGATTTGGGACTGGAGGCAGGCCTGGTCAGGCCAGATTACAGTATTCAAAGGTAAAGGCCAAGACAGGTGATGGACTGTGCCAAGCTGGATCAGAGCAACCACTGGCACACACGAGATCTGAGGCTCGGGATAGGCCTGGTTGGGGAGTAAAGGGGAAGCCCTGGCTGAGTTGTGGTTCCCACTGGTGAGTGTGAGGGCTGAAGTGGGGTCTGCTGTCTGGTCTAGAAATGGCTGCAGTGTCCCTGTGCATGGATGTGGACGGGCTCTGGGGTGTGTTGGACTGAGTTGGACCCTAGCACCCACTGGTGCTTGTGAGACCTAGGGTGGGTGTAGGATGGGCTGGGCTAGGTCTCTGCCCCTTGCTAAGCTATGCATGAGATGTGTCTGGGTGTGGATCAGGCTTGGTTGGGATGTAACACCCAACAGCAAGAACTGAAATGGGTGAGGGCTTGTCAGGAAAGGACACTGTTCCTGTTAGGACAAGGGATGGACTAAGCAGGGCTGGCCCATGGACCCACTGGTGTGTGTGAGATCTGGCATAGAGAGAGGTTCTGATGGAGGAGCTTGAAGAATTCCTCTGTCAGGACACAGTCCCTGCAGATGAGTGCAAGAACCACAGTAAGGAGCAGCCCAGACCGGGTCAGGGAATGGTATCCACTGGCATACATTTGACTTATGTTGGGGGTAAACCAGATTGGGCTGGTTGGTATCCCCTGCTGGCAAATCCAAGCACCACAATGGGGTGTGGGTCAGGCTGAGTCAGGTCAGAGCACAAACCAGTTTACATAAAGGCCAAGATTGGGGGCCATCTGGGCTGGGCTGGGCTATAACCCCCACCAACATGAGCTGGAATTGGGGGAGGGGCCCGACCAGGCTGCATTACCCCCTGGCAAATGCCAAAGTGAGGCAAGCCATACCAAACTGAACAGCAGTGCCCAGCCAGTACCCGTGGATCTGGGATGGTTAGGGGTAAACTTTGTAGGAGGGTTGCATATGGCTCCCCTGCTGGAACACCACTCCCACTGGTGAGCATGAGAGTTGGGATGGGGGAAGACAAGGCCAGACAGGGCTATAAGCACTTGTTGGCCTCATGTGAGCTGGATCAGGGGAAAGCTAGGCTGGATTGGTTGAACCTACAGGTGCATGCATAAGCCAGATTGGGTGTGGGTTGGTTGAACTTTGTCATAGCATTGCCTGGCAGATGCTGATATGGAGGCCAATTATGTAAAATGAAACTACAAAAAAACCTGGAGAGTGCAAGGTCCAGGAGTAGGAGTGGGTCCATTGGGGAAACAGTGGGCACCTACCTCCCTCTGGGTTGCCACTCTGATTGGTGGATACAAGAACCGGGACTGGGGCAGGTATGGCTAGACAGAGAGTGGCACCTGCCAGCAGGTGTTGGGGCTGGAGATTTGGACTGATTGGGATGAACTAGGCTTCAATGCCCATTGACAGGTTTGAAAGCTGAAGGGGATGCGGGGCAGACTGGACCAGTTTGCTGAGCATCTTGACAGGCACGGGAACCAGGTCAGGGGTCAGGTCTGGTGGAAGTTATTGTGGGCCGCTGTGACTAGGCTGAAGTTCCCACTGGTCTACATGAAGGCTGAGTGTATGGTGGTCAGGATTGGAATATGCTACATCACCTATTGGTTTGTGTAGAAGATAGGGCTGGAGACAGAACTGACCAAGCAATTGCAGCCACTAGCATGTGCATACACTGGTTGAGGTGATGGATGGTGCTAGACCCTGTGTTGACAAGCACATACAACAATCACGTCTGGGATCACTTGGGATGAAGTTTCTTTGGGGATTCCCCCAACTGAACTGCTGGACTCAGAACCCCAACCATGGAGAGAATTGCGGCTTTCATGGTCTAAGCATGGATTGCATGTGTCAGAGCTGGGCCTCCTCAGTGGCTTAGAAGGATCAGTGGACAGCATAACCAGTTGCACATGGAGGGTATGGCAGCATATTGGAATCTGCAGAGAACATCTGGTGCCATAGCAGAGGACAGAGGACAGAACAAATTGATCAACTGCCCCCAGCCAAGTGTTGGCAGTGAATACCTGGGCAAACGGAGACCCTAAGGTGGACTGTGTCAACCAGTGGATTCTGGAGAGGTTTTATTGTGGTTGGAGTGGTGAGACTTGCAGTAATTCAGAACTGATGAACTATCAAAAACCACTTGAGCAGCACCCTCAGAGCATGTCCTACACGGAGAACCCTGGAATGATCTTGGGTGGCTGTCCACCATCCCAGGATTCAGAGGCAGTTGGGAGGAAGCTGAGTGTGGCTTCCTCCCTTTTTCTCCCCCCTTACCCTTGTTACAGGAAGGGATAAAAGAGATTGTGCAAATAATGATCTCACCCACCTTCCTGTAACCCTAATAACATGCAAAAGTTATCAAAAATTGTTGGGGGCACTAACAATTTCCTGCCCTGTGATTGGCCCTTTGCCCTGATTGGTGTGTCTTGGTGATCTTTAACCTGATTGGAAAGGTTTGGCAGATAAGCAGGGAAGCTTGGCGGGAGAAGGGCTTCAGCGTAACAGAATTAATGGACACAATGGTTTTTAACGGAAGATCACAATAAAGCACCTCTGGGACTCTCTCCAGTGTCAGGAGATTTCTTCCGTGGGACAGGAGACCCAGATAACTGGTTCTGTGGCTCGGCTAGAAGTCAGCTGATGAACACCAGGAAGGTAAGCTGAGCAGATCGCTCAGGTAGCTGCTTACAGCGGGAATTAGTTTACAACTGAGCTTTTTGCTCAGGAAGCCACACTACGTGGGGACGTGCACGTCAAGTGCACGGGTGTAGCGCCCATTCAGGCTCACAGTTTAGCACCTGTTCAGGTTCGTGGTTTAACGCCCATTTAGGTTCCCGTATTAACGACCATTCAGGTTCGCGGTTTAATGATCTGTCAATTTCGTGATTTGACGATCGGTCAAGTTTGCAGGTTAGCAATGATCAGAGGTGTTAGAAATATGGCCAATTTAACTTCTTCAGTGCACATGCAGCCTTTATTGCAGAAACTGCTGACAGTGCTATTGTTTTTGCAAACTGTGCAAAGGATCACCCAGTGGTTTCTGGAGGAGGGCCTTTTGATCCTGCCACAATGGGAGCACTTAGGCAGAGACTTAGCTAGGGCTGAATAGCAGGAGCCCCTCGTTCCAGGAAAGGTCAGGACTGGACGTTGATTAAGTCTTGCCTGAGAGATGGCACTGATACATTCAGAGGACTTATACAGGAAGGTGAGAAAGCCTTATGGAGATGCAAAAAAAAAAAAAAATCAGAATGGATGGTTTAAATACCCTTAATGATTTCCAGCAGGTATTGGGGCATATTAATTGGATCTGACCATATTTTTGTATTATTAGACAATGCCAAAATTGTGTCCCCTTTTTGTCACAGCCTTGCTTTGGGGTTAATTGCCGTGGTCTTATGCCTAATCATATATGGCAGATGGATGTTACCCATGTTCCCAGTTTTGGTCGCCTTTCTTTTGTTCATGTCTCTATTGATCCCTGCTCTGGGGTTCTTTATGCCTCAGCTCATAAGGGGAAAAGGTTCAAGATGTTATATCTCATTGCCTTCAGGCTTTTTCAGCGTGGGGCGTCCCCCAGTGTTATAAGACTGATAATAGAATTACCTGTACAGCCAAAGCATTTGATAAGTTTTGTTCTGAATTTGCAATTAAACACTCCACTGGTATCCCATATAATCCTACGGGCCAGGCTGTGGTAGAGCCCATGCAACTCTCAAAGCATTATTAATAAAATAAAAAGGGGGAGTAGGAGCCACCCTATATCCCAATAGTCCTAAACATCAATTGGCTTTAGTTACTTATATTTTTAATTTCTTGATTTTGGATTTGGATGGCCGTTCTGCCATGGAATGCCACGCCGTTGGTGCAGGCCTCTGCAAAAATTGGGTGATGTGGAAGGATGTTTTAACAAAACAATGGATGGTCCCACATCCTGTCCTATGACAGATGCAAGGAGCGGTTTGTGTTTTTCTGCAGGATTCTGACGGACCAGTGTGGGTGCCAGAACGTTTGACGCGAGTGATAAGAAAGCCGGAGCAAGATGAACCTGTGGACGTGGTGGATGCAAACCAGCCTGATGTTCATTCAGATACTGAGAGGAGACAGCCAGAATCTCCAGCTATAACTGCACTATAAAAGGGGTGCAGCAAATATTGCCTTGCTGTCTAGGGTCTTGGAAATGGCCCCCAGAATGGACTGGCTGTCAAAGTACTGTGACTCCTAGAAGAGTAGCACCTGATCTTGCTGTGACCAATTTATTTCCTACCTGTTCAAATTCCACCTTTGTGGGGTATAACTATACATATGGTAACCCTGTTTAATCTGTTTCTGCTCAGTCTTGGAATGTCTGGGTACTTTGCACTAGTAGGGGTGGGTGTTCAGATATATCAGCTTTTGCATTTATTGATAAGGTAGTGATAAAAATTGTAATTATAGTAGTAATATTCTAGAATATGGGAAGAAGATGTTAAAGTTAATTGCAGTCATGACGTTATCTATAATGCTATTAATGTATGTGTACAAGCTCCATTTATGTTTATTGTTTCCATGAGTGCTAATGTTACCCTTTTGAATTGCTCTGTAGTTAAGTGAGCCCTTACCCAGTGTTGGGATTGCTCTGGCACTGTGGTGCTGGTACGCATTCCACAACTTATTCCCATGCCCGCTCAGGTGAAAGAAAGTGATCTTCAGGTTCTTATTCATCATAGATTTTAAAAGAGGCATTTTACTTGTTAATCAGAGAGTGGATCTTTTGCAGGAAGCAGTGGAACAACTGCTCCATCACATGGGGACCTCCTGTGTGCTTAGTCTACCTGGAATGTGTGTCACTCCCTCTATTGTCACCAATGGTTCCTGAGCATTGAATTTGTCCAGAGAGTTATCTGCTATGCTATCCCCTAATGGAAGCTGATCCATACGATTTGATAATTTGACTTAGGAACTAAGATCCCAAATTATAGCCATAAATAGCACCAAAGTAGAGATTGCCACGGTAGTGCAATGGACAAATTGGATACTGAAGGATCTTTTCTTTGCACGCCAATGGGCTGGTATAGTAGGCCTGGGCCTTATCTTATTAATTTTCATTCTTTGGGGTCTGTGGATGCTTCATCTTCAAGCACAGCATCAGCAGCAGTAACAGCGGCTGCTAGTGCAAGCTGTGCTTGCCCTTCACAACAGAGAACCCCCAGAAGTCTGGCTATGCATGCTGGACCAGTAGCCAGAGATGGGTAAGTATCCGATATGGCTTCACCAACCTAAGACAGATACCATGTTCCTAGCCATGTGGTTAGTGTGCCTTGCTGTTCTTTAAGCTGATTGGGCAAGTTTGACAGATAAGCAAGGGGCTTGGAAGGGGAGGGGCTTCAGCATAATGGAATTAACGGACATAACGGTTTCAACAGAAGATTGGAATAAAGCGCCTCTGAGACTCTCTCCAGTGTCGGGTGAATTCTTCCTTCGTACGGGAGACCCAGATAAAAAATAAAATAAATAACAAATAATAATAAAATAAAAAGATGGCAGAGGGTTACAGAGAAGTAACTGGAGACAAGGCTTTAAATGGAAAAGAGCCTGGTAACAGCAAGACTTGAAAGGCCTGTTGAAGAGTGCTTGAGGGCTTTCCCAAGGGAGGTGATCATCACGTATACTGTCTCCATCTCTTCTAATGCGTCCTGGATTGTGAATCTCAGGCAATGAATCCTGTACAAGAGGAAAGAAGAATGCTGGTATTTCAGTAGAGTTAAGCCCTTTCATCAAACCTGATCACAAACCCTGCATATGGTTCACGTGGGACCGCCTCCCTCTCCAACTTCACCTGCCATCACTCTCCTTGGGTTGCCCATGCTCTAGAACTAGTGAACCTGCTCAGAGTTTTACATACAACCACCTATTCTTCAGAAAATCTACCGCCATGTGTCTTTTTTCTCTTGACCACCATCTCTTTTGGCTGTATTAATGTCCACATATTGGAAAGACACTGTAATATAAATCCCATAAGATGCAATTTTAAGAGTCTTCTGCTCCCAAATGTAAGTAGTTAGAAAACAAGAATGTTTTTCCTTCATAATGTCATGAACGTGTCATACAATAGTTTATGTTAATCACTACATTGTTTTTCAGTTTTGTTTTTGAAAGCTTTTATTTTAGAATAATTGACCTTTTACAAGTTTAAGTGAAGATACACTGGTATATGCATCACTACTATCAAAGCAAAAGAGAACTTCCAATGAAACTATTAGAAATACAGTAACAATATGGTATTAGATTTTCTACCAATGCCATGTACATTTAAGTAGCATAATGTTGGACTTGTGACAGTTGCTGAAATGGTATACTATTGTAGTTAAATGAAGGATATGGGGGGCGGGGGGAATGAAGAGAGAAGCAGGTGGCAGAGGGAGGAATATCTACACTTACAAAATCATACGCTGGGAAATGATGTTAAAAAATAAAAACAATTATGCTGTAAAAGAAAAGAAACCTACATTCTACAGCTAAACAAAATCATTCAGGTAAAGCCCACACCGAGCTTCTACTATATTACCAAAATACCTATTTGTACTAGTCATCAACCACTCCAAAATATCTCTGATGTTTTTGAATCCAAGTTCTCTCTGTCTCATATCCTCTTCTTTTTTTATTTGTTATTAACATTGTATTATGTGATACAGTTTTATAGGCACTGGGGATTCCCCCAACCCCTCCCAAACCCCTCCTCCCTTAGTGGATTCCTCCACCTTGCTACATAACCTCAGTTCAAGTTCCGTTGAAATGCTTTCATTGCAAGCATATACCTAGCATAAAGTCCAGCATCTTATTGTCCAGATAAGTTCAGTGGTCTCTTGGGGAGACCTTCTCTGGTCTGAAGGTAGAGCTAACAGAGTAAAGTTCCGGTCAGTTAAAAGCCCCAACAAAACATCAGCGTCAATATACAACGTTATGGAATTAATTGACATAGTATTGAGTGAACAATATGTTAAAAATAATGCAAGTTCAATTATTCAAAACATCTGGGTTGAGACAGTATCAATGTCAGGTTCAAAAAGTAACAAACAACCAAGCATAAATTACAGGTTAAATTAAAGCAAACTTGTGATTTCTGACATAGTATTGAGTAGACAATATGTTAAAATTACATGCAAGTTCTTGGCTACCTCCTACAA